GAGCCCGGCGGGGCGGCCGGGCCCGAGCGCCGTGCTCCGGCTGGGCGGAGGCGGCAGGTAACAGGTGGTGGCGGCCAGAGGCCGCCGCGGGCAGCGCCGTCAGCGCCGTCCCTGCCGTCCCTGCCGCCGGCGCGGCGCTGGAGGCGCTCGATGGCTGCGGCGGAGCCGGGCCCCGCGCGTGGCTTCCCGCGGCAGGTCCCCGCGGCTGCGCCTCGTCCCGGGCGGCGGGGCTGGTGCGGGCGGCGGCGGCCACCGCAGCCGGGACAGCGCGGAGCGGCAGAGGGGCTGCGGACGAGTGCAGAGGAGGGTGCGATCCCCCCGTACCACTCACCCCGAGCGACCCGGGAGCGCTCGCCGTGCCGCTGGACAGAGCGCTGCGGCCGAGCTGCCCAGCACCGACCGGCGGAGTCACGGCCAGCTCTGCCGTCGCAAGGCGAGCGCCGGGGTTACGAAGGTGCTTCCATTCATTTTTACGGCTGCAAACCCAATTTAAACAGGAGGTACAGAGCCAAACCATTCGTTCTGATAGCCCCTGTTGTACTGTATTCTGTTTTTGCTTTTATTTTTCTTGTACTGCGAGCTTGCAGTTTGGGATAGTCAGTGATCAGGCAATAGATATTATTCCATCTCAGTCATGTTTCTTTATTCATGAAGGTCATAATTATTTGTGACTCCTTACTGAACTTCTTTTCAGCTAAAATTAACTGATCAATCTCTTTTGAAGGGAAAACTTGTAGAGATGTGAGTCAAGACGTTGGTTCACATTTCCTAGCCTCAGCATGAATGCCTGAGCAGTAGAAGGCTCCGCACACTGGAAAATGGTCCTTTCAGGTGGTGTTTCCAGCCTGATGGCCAGGCACACTGTGTTAGCCCAGTGTCCAGTGCTGTAGTGCACTGAGGGATGAGTGTAATCCAAATGCAGTGGAATTGCTACGATGCAGCCATCTGCATAACCTCAGAAGTAAAAATCCCACAAACTCTTCTTAGACCTGTAAGTTCTTGTTAATTTACAGCTGTATTGCCAGCAGCTATGTGATGTACAAGCATTTGAAAGAAACCCAGACAGTCCACATATTCTTGCAAAGTGAACTTACAGAGCTGTTCCTTGCATTACTAGGACAGAAATGTTGGATGTTTCCTGAAATCATCTTGGTAAAATGTGAAAGAATGCTTCCAAAGATGACAAAAGTCCTAGGAAAAAGAAATAAGTAAACTTAAATAAGGTTCAGTAAATATCTGATGTGAAAATCAGCTTAATTTTAAGAGATGAATATGTGCAGTTTCAGCATGTCTTTAATTATCTGTAACATATTTTAGCTAGCTGTGTATAAGTTACAGAATTAATGTCTATTTTCCCATCTATTTCCACATGCTTATTAAAACACACTGAACTGGGAAGGAAGCTGGTAGAACTTGGCCATGTTTGAATGGTAGATATAAGCTGCTACAGGTAAAGACAGGTACGCGTATAACTTTAAGAACATAAGTTATAGTCCCTTTGAGTCCTTCTGTTCAGTATGTTTTAGGCCAGGCTCTGCAAATACTCTAGATACAACTTTGATAGTATAACTAACCTGACTTTTTTTATAGGAGTATTAATCACAGCAACAACCCCCTCAAAACTGAGTGACGAATTAAAGGACATTAAAAGCTGTCTTTTTGCATACTACAGTCTCTTTCTTTGTGTTACTTTCTGTATGCTTGGTCTATGAATGCATTCTTTATTTGGGCTGTACATTTTTAGAGGAAAGATTGGATTTGATTTTCAGTTTACATTAGCCCCTAAGAGGAACACTTCATTCGTTATTGCAACCTTGTATTGATACATGTAAACATTGAGGCCAGTGATACAATATAAACTTGGTTGGACCAACACTAGTTCCTCTCCCTCATGCTTTCAGGTTACTACCATTCAAGGAATCAGTGTTCTCTGGGACTTCAGCTCATCGTGCAAAAATGTTTCAAAAATTTTCTACAGCAAATTAGTGAAAAAGTTTGTTGGGTTCACTGGGACATCAGCTGGAACAGTAAAAGGCTTTTTAGTACTATAGTTCAGTAAATATCCTCTTTATCTCTCAGAATTTAGCTACTGTATTTGAGAGCTTCTTTGGGCCCTCCAGCACTTACACAATAACCACATCCTGTTTTACAAACAAGACCATTCTGTCTAACCTCCTTCATGCTGCCCACTCAGACCTTCCGGCCTCCAATGTCAGAAATCACTTGTCAGTTTTATACCACAGTCCAAAGTCCAGTATCTTGCACAGCTGGACAAGAAGCAGTCACACCCAACTAGTGTGCAATGTTGTACTCCACTATGACAAAGTCCAGCTGGGACAGAGCCAGTGTTAAATGCTCACAAGTTTCTCAGGCCCCAGCAGTGCTGTCGAAGTCCCTGCCATCAAATGAATCCACATGGCTTACGTTTTCTTTGCCTGTCATTTCTTACTGATCTTGTTGTCTAAGGCTGCTAGAAAATGGGAGAGGGAATCACTTGCTCAGGTCTTGACTGATATTCTACAGATACCGCATAAATAGCCACTGTTCCTAATAGGTATCTGAGACAACAGGGCATGAAGTGTTCTACGTATCAGTGCCACAGACCATTAGTTAGTGCAGGTCAGACTTGTTGGGTCTTTTGCCTCAAGGTGTTCCCAATAACTTCACAGATGACTGTAGGGTGCAGTTATCGCTGTGCTTATGAGACTTCTTGGTTTCTGGGGGGTTGTTCTTTTTCTTTTTGTAGGGTGATATATCATCAGTGTTACCCTGAAGAAGAAGGGAGTGATGGTAGTCTCACATGAGCCAGAATGAGTAAAAGCCCACCTAGTTATAGTGTATTCTAAAATTTGTTGGAATAATCAAGAGCAGCGGGTAGGTAATGAAGTCCACATATGGTGTTTGTCATTAGTTTGTATGTGAGCCCCAAAAGTGTTACTGGTTGTGTCCAGAGAAGGCTGCAGGGATTTGCACACCCTGCAATTTTTTTTGTAATTATTGCAATACTCAGCATATATGAGAAAAGGATCATCAGAAGTGACCTCAAGATCCCTGCTTGGCCTCTAACAGCACTAAAGCTTTTGAAAGTCAGTCAATCCAGACTTTGAAGTCTAAGAAGTACACTTAGCTTTCCTGAGAACTTCTTAAGGTGCTTAGTCACTGCAGGCAGGATCGACTGAGCCCTAGCCAAAGATTTCCTCGCCTTAAATAGAAAGAAACTTGGAAGCATTTCTGGACTAATCTTATTCAGGTTGTTCTACTCAAATGTATTGGACAGGACAGTGTAACCACAGCTCCAAGTAAGTTTTGGAATCTTGCCTGCCTGCTGGGAAACTGCTCAAGCTTTCTAGACTTAGAGCTGTTGCCAAACAAACATCTGTGATTTTTTTTCCCACAATAATCTGCACTGGTGATGAATCCTAAGAAGGACTTCCAGCTGCAGGTGAGTTTTTTGATTTTTCTGCAACTTGGTTTTAATAAGCCACAAACAATGGCTTATTAGCTGAGCACTAGCTGTTCAATTTGCTGGTCAATTAGCTGGTCAGCTCCAAGAAAAAAAGCTATGCTAGTGCTCGCCAGAACCACAGCTGGAGGTGAACTGTCTACTCTTTGTAAATTCACCCATTTCAGAAACACCCTGATGGGCCATGCCTACACTGATATGATGAGTTTCTGCATCTGGAAGTCTGTGTGGTCTTTGGCAGGCACACAGATCATGGGGCATTCACAATAAGACCTATGGAACAGCATGACTTGCACTTATATAAGGATGCCATCAGGCTGTATGGACATACATGACAGAAAGAGACCTGCTGCTGCAGAGTCTGCAACAACATTCCTGCACATTCAGCTTGGGTCAGCAAATAGAATGACAGGTGCACACAGTGGTTGTTGAAATCTGAATTGGCAGGGCTCTGAAGCACTGATCTACTCAACCAGCATAGCAAATAATATACAAGTGTCCATGTAGCTGTTGTGCAAAGCTGTAGCATAGCAGAAGAAAGGCATGGATGTCTTGGAAGAGTTCAAGAAATTGTTGCCAGATGTGCAGTGTGGGTCTCTGACTGCTGGTCACTACCAGTGACACAGTGAACAGCTGTGATGCATGAGGAAGGGAGAGTACATAAGGCAAAAGAGGAATGACAGCAGCGCTGCAGATGAAACATGAGAAGCAGGTTGTGCAACGTTCTCCTCAGTATCTCACGTGCTTCTTTGCACCTTTGTCCTACCACTGCCATGATGAATCAGACTAAGGCAGTGTCAGATGTTAAGCTATGCACTAAAATTTACTGCATCTAATGAAAATATCTATGTTACTTAATATTGAAGTGCGGTGTTGTACTGAGGCTTGTAAAATTCACATCTGTTATACTTCAGATCTTATCCTTTGTCAATTTATTCCATTCCTTACAAATTATAGTTTTTATGGATACTTTTTTGTGTATGAGTTGATTTCATAATATTTATCTCAAACTGAAGGGGTTTGAGTCTCTGTTTTTAGGAAAATCATTACTCAGGTACTGTTAGTGGATAGTCAAGATTTACAGGAGGAGCAGGTAATACATATATTCAACATTCAGGTTTGCTTAATGTGTTGTAGGTCTTTAGATGCCAAAGCAAAATTACAAATAATGATAGTGAAGAATTTCTAATTTTTACATGATTTATGCAAT